AAAGAATTAATGCTGTACAGACACAGAACTTGTTTGTGAGTTGCTGTGGGGATTTTGTACTATAGTAGCCAGGTAATTACTTAGAACAAAATGGCTGAGAAAAGGTAGCCTTTAAAAAAAAGGCATTTACCACAGATCCTTCTAGTCTAGAGTCTTTCAAAGTGTAAGAGGTTTTAAAGCATAAAAAAGACAAAACTTTCTAGGAAAGACTGTCGCTTTTCTACACTAAGTTTAAAGTGGATTGACCAGTAAAATTCAACCTTTGTGCAAATGTTCAGTCCGTGTGCCTTTGTTTCTTCCTACAACAGCAGGAGTTGCACAGCATTAATCTAAAATTCAAAGCTTGTTGAATATTGTGGTTTCTCTCTACCATCCTGTGTAGGTTTTTTAAAATGAGTTGAGACTTAACCTAAACAAAGTAATTAAATAACAAAACAGGTGCCACTATGTAAAATGGTATCTTCACTCATGTGATGCGACTCAGGATAGTACACTCTTGTGTTCTGGATTCAGCTTAAATGCACATTTTTCTTTAAAAAGGTCATCGTTTCCAATTGCAGAATTGAGAGGGTATCTCACCCTTTCCAGACAAGTCAAGTCAATGTAATGTTAATGCTTTTTGTCAGCTGCACAACCTGTTAATTATGTTATTTTTATGAAGCATAGGTATACATTTTATTCATTAAATATATCTGAAAACTGTGATGTTTGGTTTTTTCCCCCCTCTGTCTGTTTGAACCTAATCAGAATTTTCCTGTCAAGAAACATGTTGATGCTGGTAATCGGAGACTGAACCATCAAGGAGTAGGGCTTGGCTATGGTTGTAAATGTTCTGAACAATGCACACGCCCTGCGCAACTTTTGGCACATCCAAAAGCAATGTTCTTTACCCTTTGCGTCTGGGGATCAATGCTGTCTCTGAAATGGATGATTTAGCAGCAGACAGAGGGTGAACTCCACAGGCCCCCAATCCAACTTCTCCCTCTGAAATAGATAAGTTTACATGTAGAACCTAAAGAGCTTCCTACTCTCCCAGGACAAGATTTCACTAAATTTGGCTGGCTTGGCTCTCTCTTTTTTTTAAAGTGGCTATACTGGTCACTAGATCAAGAGGACCTTGGGCACTATGAGGCTTGTATTTTGGACAGCCAGTAAAATCCATGGCTGTTGAGAAAGAGGTAAAACAGTCCCAAGAACAGGATCCTGAAAAGGCAGCATGCCGAGGGGAAACAGCCTAGCCTGGCCTGTAAGGGAAACTGATATAGTCCACGGAGCAGTGACTGGAACCCAGGTCCACATCCACTACTTCCATTTTCAAAGGAAAACAACAAGCCGAGTTTTTTCTCAAAGAACAGCTGCAGGTGACTACCGTCAGGGAGGACCTCCTTGCTGCCCTGACTCTGGTGCCAAAGCCCTGGAGAAGAGTGCACGGCTGGCTCTAAGCAGCTTCCTGCTCTCCGGGATTTTCTCTCCCTTCTGAGACCTCAACTCTGAGTTTTGGGTTTCACTTCAAGGAGCCTGGCACTTAACTAGCCTGCACCATCTGCCTTCAATGAGCTCTAGCCCCAGGGTGTGTTGGTAGGAACTGGGACATGCTCATCGCTCTATGTCAAACTCAGTGAGATCTATAGATCTATTTTTTTTCCCCCAGCAGAAAAGTGCTGTTGTCTAGGAATATTTAACGTCAAATTACTTTATTACAAAATATACTGATACAATGTATAAGGTGTTCAGAGAAGACCACTGTACATTTACAAATCTGTACTAGGGCTGACCATGTTCCAATCACATTTGAATTAAAAATTAAGTAGTGGAGATATGAATGCTTAAAGCTTCTGCTATTCCGTTGCAAGGAATGCTGGTTTCCACAACTGATATTGGCTGAAACATCTGAAGGAGACCATAATGTAACACACTGCTTCACAATAACCAACCTGGGTTATAAAAAGGGGAGAAAACATGGCCTGTTGCATGAGGAAGCTTCAGGCAGTTGTGCAAGCTGTGGCTCAGAATCGAGCTGTAGATAATCAAGCCAACACTGTCAAACTTCTTTGGCTGTAGGCATCCGTGCAGGTTTTCTTAAAGATTACTGTGACAGCTTCTTCTCCAATATTTGCTTCACCAGAATGGGATCAGCTCGCCTTTCTGTTGCTCTTTGAACCAGGCCTATCAGTTTATTCAGAACTTTTCGGTTTCCTGCCTTTATCTCCATAACCTTGAAATCAGAAACACAAGCAGCTTTTAGAAGAAGCCTACGATCTTCGGACACTTAAGACGCACGTGAGTATTATCTCATCTTAATACCAGCGTAGCTTAACATCTACAATTTACAAATTTAGCCCCAACAAGCTGTGCATGGTTGGAATTCTTCGCATGTTTGAAGCCTCGCTCCACTGGACCAGCACAGATCAGGCGATGATCTAGGCTTCTGAACTATTGCTTTCATGCCTACTGCAAATAAAATGTTTCTGCTTGTATCTAAACATTGCAACCCAATGCAAAGAGTGCCTTGCTAGAGGAAAGCAGCAAACAGAACTAAATGTCCTTCTGCACAAAGTTATACCAACCTACAGGAACCTTTTGCAAAGTATTTATGTTTAAACTCTTGCACTCATTCATCAGAAATGCACTGCATTTGGGTGAAGAGAGCATTAAAAACCAAGCATTTTCACCCACTGCCCCACTTGTTAACAGATTCTACATCTCAGAAAGATGCTGTAGTTCAACCACTAGTCACTGGCCTCTAAAGCTGTTTTCTAATGTTGTTAAGAAGAATAATTTTCTGCACTGTAGGAATTATTGGATAAGATTCCATGGCCTAAATTATACAGTATGTCAGACTACACAGCAGTTGTTTTTGCCCTTAAAATCTAACCTATGAACTAACTACCAACTGCAACAGTTGCTTGCATGAATGCAAATACTCCCTATTGTATCTGAATTTTAGGCTGTCTTAAACCTTGTCCATAATCCCATTATGGAAAGGACTCATTGCTACCATTATCTGCTTGCAAATACCTAAATTAGATAGTTCAGGAGGGTCTAAGTATTGCATTCTTTCATAAATTGCTTCATATTTGAGGATTAGTTTACTTTAAATAACAAGTTACTTAGAAAAAGCAAGGCATATTTTCTCTTGCAATAGCCCAGCTAATTGTTTTATAATATAAGTTCTCATGGGAATTTAAAGTATAGAACTACAAGCTTAAAAGTGTCTTTGCTTTAGTAGAAGATCACTTGAAAATAATTTGGAAGCAAAGCAGCTTTATCATGTGGCTTGGATAAAAAACCAAACAAAAAACCATGGGAGCTGAGAGAAGAATTAAATTTTCACAAAATACATTATTATTGAAATGGGAATCTGGCTGCAGACCTTCAGCTTTTGTGTTCCCTGATCAGTTCTAATGCTCAATCTGCCTGCACTTGTGAGTCTGAAAATACAGAGGCACTTTTATCAGGCACTGCAAATGAGTCAGTCTGATGGAGGTCATGCAGACCTACTGCAAGCTCATTTTCTTTATCAAAAGCTCTTTGCAAAGCTGTTAGCATCCCCCAATGAGATCTGGTGGTAGGTGGTATTGTTCTCAAAAGATGTTAGCATTTCTTCCAACAGCAAATGTATCTAGACAATGTTTATAGTTAAAGTAAGCCATTCATTCCTGTTTTTACATTTCGTGCTCTAGAGAACACATAAGCACTTGATTTTTTTTTTTTTAAAACTGATGTTGCACACTGTCAAGGCATTTCCCCCCTCCCTCCTACATAATTTACAAGGCTCTTTTTTCCTTCCTCTAACTGAAAAACTCTGAAAGCTTGAAACTGCACGGGAGGTGCAAGCTTTCTTTTACTACATACATAGCCTGTAATAGCAGGTTACTCATAGGTATGGAATATTTTTGGGGGCTTGGAGGGTAGATGGATGGAGGAGGTGAAAGAGATGGATTTTGCAAAGTATATTCCAGAACTGAATAACTGGTTTGACAACTCTAGTGCTGTCCCTTTGACCTTATTTATACAGTAGAGATAGCCAAAGAGATGATTTCCTGTGAGTTGCCCTGGATTTTCATGTTTTTAACTCTAATACTGTCCAACATGACCCAAAAAATCAGAAAATTATACTGATCAAAATAGCTTTGCCAAGTTAATGTAAATGCTTTCTGTGCAGAGTGGAAGGAGTAAGGATCTCTATTCTTAAGTGCTTTCTTCTGATATATCATTTTTGTGCATATGCAGAGTGACTTAGCTTGTGGGACCAACCAGACTACTAATTCCCCACTTTTCCTCTGCAACTGTACTGAATACACACGAATCCAGAGGAAGGATGGCAATTTTATACCCTTCTTAGATCCCCAGATTACCAATGTATTGACATTTGTTGTACCCATTTGCCCACCCCTCTGATAATCACCTCTTCCTGATGTCTTTCCATGACTGCTTGACAGATCTGGTCAAGCTCACTCTGATTCTGTATTAATTCTAGTTGTTTTTCCTTGACCATCTGAAGTGGGGTCTTCCCCTCCCCCTTACATAATTCCTTAAGCACCTGCAGTATTGGAAAGAGAGAGGTAGGGAGTCAACATCGACAGCATTCACATATTTGATTTCCTCTCACACAAATGTGAGAGCATATTTAACAACAATAAAAACGAGGTTCAACTCATTTTCACTTACAGGTTAAAGCCTAAAGCAACAACCTAGACTAGAACATCCCCCCCATAGCCCCACTTTCACAAAGACACACAATATTCATGTCAAATGGTTTTGCAACAGGAAGGTCTTCCACCATTCAAGGGGATCTGTGACTCCATTGCCTAGCTCTGCAAGGAAGGCAGTCTACTAATCTTGCGTTATTTGTGAGGACCATTGAAAAAATCATTTTGGCGAACAAAGCCTCTACTGATTTGGCAATTAGAGCACCATTGTACCCAGTCCGATTCCAGGTAACTTACTGCGTTGCAGATCATCATCCTCACAGAAGCAATGTAATGCTTTGGCTGTGAAATGAGGATACATAATCGGAAACAGAAGAGAAACGTTACAAATCAGACTGCACGTGGCAGCCGCAGTCCCTCTATCTATCACTTCTGAGTACAGCCGGGCAAGGCTAAGCTTCTGGAATAATTACTAGCTAATGTTGGTGTGTTTTCCTGCTTTGGAGCATGGCTCTCACCCTGGAATAAACTTGAGAGAAGAGAACATTTATAAAAAAGCAATTTCCTTGGGCAGTCATTTTCTGTATTCCCTCTGCTCTTATTTCAGAGATGTAGGATGTGAAAGAGAAAGCCCTTATTAAAACAGTGCAGGATCAAGCACAAGCAGCTGAAGACATAATTGTATGTTTAGGGCATCATGATGTGCTGGTGAGGAAATGAACGTTCTGTCAAAAATTCAGCATCAAAAACTGACTGCAGGATTGAGGCGAAGTTGTAATTTCAAGGTATTTCCAATAATAAGCAGTGCAATAAGACAGCTTATGAAAAACAGAACAAATTACATGATAAAAACATCTTGGAGATTTTCCCCAGGATGGAGGATTTTTCCCTCCCAGTTCGAAACTCCATCAGCATGAGGTAGTTTAGCAGTTGTGCTCAGTCCTGTAAGACACCTGTGCTGACGCAACCTATTGTGAGCGAGGCACGACTCTCATCTGCCTACCCTGACCCCAAGTCTCTGATAGAAGTTACTTCTGTTTTTTATTTTGCTGGAGGCCTTAAGGAGGATAATGGCAAAGCTGCCTTGAGAAGCCAAACCACAGGTTGTGCACTGGCTGTGAGAAGCTGTAGGGTGAAGAGAGATCAAAGTTTTGAAGTTATGGATAAATGTATGGTCACCATTATGACCACTGTGACACCTGAAGCAATTTTTACCTAAACAACATTTTCTCTTCCAGTTACAAGCTTAGCAATCCTAATAGCAGAGCCACTTGGAGCATCCAAGGAACAAATGCCAGAGTCAAACTGCAGGTAGACTTTCACAGGCAGCCTTTACCCCTTCCTGATCATTCAGTGGCTGGCACAAGAGAAATCCTGTGATTGCTGCTTCCCTGCCAACGGCAGGTGCTCCATCCTCCCCAGGGAGCAGGCAGGAAGCTTTTTGTAGCAGGATTTCCTCCCTGAGCTCCCCCGAGGCAGTGCAACTCCACGTCACCCCTTGTGGGGAGCTGTGTGCTACTTGCACAAATGAGTCCATGGGAAAACTCCCTGGAGATCTTGAAACACCACTCAGAGCAGGAACTACCCAATGAGGAAGCTCTCCCTCTGAGAGAAAGACTAAATTGATTTGAGGCTTGCTACATCCTATAGCAGCAATTCCCATCTTTAAATATAGTCCTCTTGCAGGATGCCATGTGAACAACAGGGACAGGGAGCCTGAAGCAAACAAAAAAACCCCAACGCATCCCTTTATGCCCAGCAGTGTTACCAAGTAAGTCAGGACCAAGCTACCGTGAGAATCAGGAAGCCATAACTTGTGCAAGGCTGTTCTTGGCACGGAGAAACTTGCCTGTGATAAACTACAGGGGGGCACTGGGGGAGGGAGAGCAGAGACTGAATTTTTCTTTCTTCTTTCACTGTGTATAGGCAAGTGGGATTTTTTTTACTGTTGCAACTTTAAAAAGCTTGAGCTGTTCCTGTAGTCAAACCCCAGCTCTCTCTGCATAAACAATCTGAAGAACATAGATGCAAAAAAGCCTCACTGTGCTATTTTTGGAAGTCGAGAAGGGAAAACCTGATTAATGTGGTAGGTTTGTGCAGTGATTTCCTCTCACCACACGCAATGCAAAGGGAACCCTGGATACTGTATGCTGGTAATGTATTACATTATTAGTCAAAGGTCATTCGGAAAGCATTTTATCTATGGCACCACAATCATAGACAGATATCATAGATTAAATAAAGCCCTTCTATGCAGACATACAGCTCTCCTTTTTTTTCCTTTTTTAACTGGGATTTTATAAGCTTTTCCCATTTAGACAGGATCAGCCTCATGTGTCTATGATCCCTGCCTGCATTGGTTTCACAGCTGCGTGTGCGCATAACAATGCTGTTCAAATACAATATCCTATGGCACAGTAATACTGCAGTCTCTGGGGCTGTATAAAAGCCTAGCTAGATTTGTCCAGAAGTCTGACTAAATCCTGTTAATTTTTTTCTTTAATAAATGTTTTGCTAAACATAAAATAATTTTGAAACTGCCTTTTTTTTTTTCCTTTAAACCTAGCCACACTATAAACCAGCTAAGCAAGTACAAGGCAAATCTCCAGAGCTGATATGAGAGTCTCTATAGCTCCTACCACAGACTGGCCCAGGTTGGATTCAGACAGTAAACATGGTTAAGTTTTTCCTAGCCATATAAGCAAAGCACTGGTAAGAATTACTTATTTATTTAGGACTTGCAAGACTTGCTTCCACACATGTCATGAGAAGCATT